TTCGGTCCTCCCCTCACGCGGCCACCCCCTGGGTTGTGAAACATTGAACAAGTCTACCCTTTCCATTCGTCATAGCATTGGTCGCGGTTGTCGTCGCACGATGTGTTCTATTTCTGAGGTTGAAACTCCTATTTCTTTTCCTTTTTGTCCTTTTTCTTCTTTGCCTTTCCTTGCGATTGTCGACCCATGATTCGTATGCCTGTCTTTTCCTGCCTGGTTCTTAGGTACCTACCCGAGTGGATGGTCTTCCCGGAATGGCAGCTTCCATGCCATGGTAACTTCAGAGCACTCTAAAGAGCAATCCTGGCATACCACCCAACCCAGTTGCGTTGCAACCTCTTACGCCTGCCTGACTAGGAAGCTGAAGCCCCTTCTATCGCACGTGATGGGTCGTTTCTAAAAATGGACACTCGGAGACATGGCCATGGCTTGAGCCTCGAATGGGTCGGCGGTGAGGAATGGACGTGGCGTAAATACCTCAGAGTCACGGCAACATCCGGACCACGTCACTGGGCGGCCAGGACACTAAGGTAAGGTAAGTAGGAGTGGCTCGATTAAACTAGCAGGAATGGTGTGTATGCAATATAGTAGAAGGTAGATGTTGGCACTCATCGCTTGTATCATTAGACGTGCTTTTGTTAATTATTCCCCGACTGGAACCCTTTGTCGTGTGACCGAATGGGAATTCATCTTGGCCTCAACTCTGTTCGTTTGGGATTCAAAGCATTCGCGAGTTGAAGCCAACCCTCGAAGGGTGGTCAAGCACAGAAACTTACTACGTTTCTATTTCTTCTTGTCGGTGACCTCTCCTACTTGAATTGAAGCCAGCGATCCATCACTCACGTGTTTGTTCGTTTGGTTTCAGTTAATGACTCGGGATTGATGGCAAGGTCGATCTAGAGTCTATAAGACTTGCCCAAGGGGGAACCCTGATGTTCAATATGTAGGTAATGATTGATTGTTTTCATTCTCCTTTCTTTCAATCGATCTGTTCTTTTCTTTTACTACTTTTGCCCAGAGTTTAGGACGGAATATCACCCCCGTCTTTCACATTTCCCGACATGGACTTTATACCTAGTCGTAAATAAACCGAATTTGGGATGTTAATAGTAACAGCAGGATGAAGAAGTTCTAGCCTAGACTTTGAACAATTATATGCCGGGAATATCCACTGCTCGGCTCAAGCACTCCAAGCTTTGCTTACTGTCTAACCTGTAACCGACCAACAACCCATACAGGATAGCCAGTCGATTTATCGGACCAATTGCCAGCGCAGGTGTTCATGCCGGTACCATAAACCCAAAGCTCTGGATCTGTATATTACGCTAGTCTAGGAGTGTGCCTGGGTAGATTCCAAGATTCGAGTCAGCGATTCAAGGCCTTGGCATCGAGTCGCGAATCGGCTTTCACGGTGTCAGAACGAGGAGGTTGTCGAGCCCGCTTGTGGCTACCTAAAACAGAACGGCTCGCCGCCCACTAGTCCACGGTCTGGCCCGCTGGCGACCAGAGGTAGCTTCGTAGAGGTGCGGAAGGAGGCCGAAGGGGGGTTAGGGCTCGAGAGGACACGAACAGTGCCGGCCAATGTCCATTATGGCTCTTCAGTTGCCTTTTCCTCGTCTTGTCCTTTTCCCACCACTCACGAGCCAAAGCCTCACACCTTTCTTCCCACCCCTCCCCCAGCCTGCATCTGTCACCCGCAGGATTGGTCCACCCGCCTTTTCCTCAACTGCTGGAGTGTGCGTATTTCCCCAGACTAGAACATGCAGGAGAAACCCTCGAAGGGGAAGCGAAGAACAAGCGAAGCGAGTTAGGTGGGGGAGAGGAGCAAGCACACACCCCAGGGAATGAGACCGGAATGGCATTCCCCGCCTGTGACTTCAAAAATTCCAAACCATATCCAGCAACCAGGTAATTAGAGCTTTCCGCCCCCACCTTGATTCTGCCAGGCAATGTTTTCCATCATGGTTTATCCATTTAGACACATGCCCAGCGCCAAATGCGGACCATCAAGTCCAATTTGTCGGATGGGGGATATGATATCGGTTCTGTCCACTGTTGGCATTCCATGCACTGTAGCCCCCACCATGCCAGCCGATGTTTCAGAGCTCTCGGGGCGGCGTGCGGACCGTGCGCCTGACCCAAGCCTCTCTTCAACGTTGCCGTTTTCCCACGGAAAGCTGCAAATCACGGGAGACCGGCATCCTGGGGGCGGCCATTTCCTACGACTGGATGTCGAGTATCGACAACGGAACTGCTGCCGCGTGATCAAGACTGCATGCTGGTAACATATGTATGCAATAAATACCTGGCTCTGTGGAACCGCCTTGGGCAGACAATATCACAGCCTGCGAAATCCGGAAATCGTGAAGCCATTTGATGCTCAGTGGGGGGATTTGACCCCCACCACCCGCCCCGCACCTAGCGTTGGGGGCATAGTGGCTTTTTTCTGGCCTGAATTGGCTGAGGGGGGGGGCCGGGGGGCCGAGCTGTGACCAGCGACGGCCACGGAGATACCGAAAGTTGCAAGGAAATTATCGTCGTTAGCGGCACGGCCCCGGCTCTTTCTTTCGTTCGTCTGTTCCTTTCTTCCATGGCATCCTGAATCCTTTTTCGTTCCTGCACTTTCTTGAGCCAAGAGATGTTGGGCAGCGGGGTAGGCATTGGTAGGTACTGGAGGGGAAGGAGCACTGTGGCTAACACTGCGCGGCAGGAGCGAGCCACTACAAATTTTGATGGTTGTTTGCACACTTTCGGGTTCTCTCCCACACGTGCACACGCAGTCTCGGTCTCGAAACGTGTGGCATGATGATCGCGTCATCCATGGCGCCAGCTCAGAATGGCTTCGATGACCTCTCAAGCCTCTTTCCCTGATGACGGAAAGGGCTTTCACTTCACTTGCCTCCATACCTATTCGGTGTGACGCTTCCCCGCTAGCCAACCATGGCGAGATGTTGTCGTGCGCGAACCTCGGCATCTTTGCAGCTTTGGGGGCTGCTTGTCTACCCGGAAGTTTCCATACTCCCGAAATCCATCTCAACATTTTCCTGTTGGCGATCTAATTCCATCAAAGTCATCTTGGGTTCGATATTTTTTGTCATTTTGGAATGCGGTTTCCATCACAATTGACGGATGAACGTACTCAACACTTTTCCCTTTTACCTATCTCGGCTGGCCTAGCAGGCCGTTTCGCCCTTGTGTTTCCGTGGCTTCTGATTCTCGATTGCTCCAAATCTCAGCTCACACGACGCCGGGTTTTGAGTCACTGGCCGATCCTGAAGCCGTTGCTGTTCGTGAAAGAGGCCGTTAGCAAGTGCTTGAGCGGTTGCTGGCCTTTTGACTCACCACTTGCGCCACCATGGCCTCCGAGAAAGATCCCCGGCTGCCCTTCCAGGAGGCGCTGGACATTGTCAGGCTACCCAATGCAACCCAGACTCAGTCGCAAGAGACAGTGCATCGGTTCATGGGTCAAAGGGCTGCATATGTGCCAGGCAGCGATATGCCCCCGATCATGCCGCGACTCCACATAGCCGCCTTTGGTGGTCATGTCTTCGCACAAGCCGGGCTCGCTGTCTGCCGGGCACGGAAAGAACTGGAGGACAAAAAGGGAACGAAGCCGTCCGAGAGACATGGACTCCATGTACGTATCCACGCTTCTTTGTGGCTTCAATGCCACACCAGACACCCTTTACCATAGGGCTATCCTGCATCTCCTTTCCAACTTTTGGAATCGACCTGTGTCTATAGCCATGTTGTGTTTCCAGGAGCCCCCTTTAACTCCTTACAGACTATTCACGGCTTCTTTACGGCATCTGGCATCCACAACCGCCCTTTCATCCACGAAGTTACGCCGTTAACCGCCACACCGAGTCTCAGCACACTCTCGGTTACCACCCGGCAACCCTCTGAACCCAGCACTAACCCTAGTGGCGACAACTTTCCACTTGCTGACGCCTTGCTTCCCCTCGGGGATCCTTGCTTCACGGCCATCTGCTCTTTTAAGCTGCCCGAGGAGCATAGTGCCGGTGTCGACATGCAAGACGATGCCCCACAGAAGCGGTTCGCAAGCATACTCGCAAGCCGTCAACCGCAAGACTGGCTGCCCGTGCCGCCCGTCGATGTCACCGGCATGGTGGCTATGGCTGGCAACGACATCGTAGGCGCGTTCCCTGTCGTAGACATGAAGAAGGTGGACATGAAGGGCTTCAACGCCGGGAAGCCCGCGCACGAGCGGCGTGAGCTGATTCTGTACCGGCTGCTGCTGCCCCTACCCTCGGATGGCAGCGGCAGCCAAGGTTGGAACGCCAATGCGCACGTGCTCGTGCACGCCTTCGCGGCGGACCGCAACGGCTTGCTGATGGGGGGTAACTACGTCGGCTTCGGCTGGTCACTGGACCGCGCCGCATCCCTGAGCAATAGCTTTGTTATGCATGTCAACGCCGACTGCGCCGTCATGCGCGCCGAGGACGGATGGTGGGTCCAGGAGTTTTCCTTTCCCCGTGCCGCAGCCGGGCGGATCACCGTCATGAGCAAGATCTGGAGCCCGCAAGGCGTACATGTGGCTACCGAATTTCAGGACGGCATGCTGCGCGGAAGAGTGGTTGTAGAGGAGAAGGGCAAGCTGTAATGACGGATATAGTCGGTGCACAATCTGGAGCTTGCCTGGTTGATGGAATTTTCCCTTGCAGTCAGGTTGCGTAGCGGTGAGGAGCTGTCAAGCTTAGCTGCGATAGACCGTGTATCTTTCGCAGAAAATAATAATTAAACTATCAAGTATTGTACATGCGTTCTACCCCATCAACCTCAGTTGCTAATTGACAGCATCGACGTTCAGTGGTTGAGTGGTTTTGCGGTGGTCAAGTCCTTGCTCGTCATCTCGAGGGTGGGAAAATTTGCAGCCAGAAAGGTGTTGTGTTGTGGCTGAGGCTGCTGGTCGCCAGCAAAAAGAAAATTGATCCGAAAGAGCCCTGCAACAGCAAGAACGGCAAAAGGAAAGACAAACATGCCCACATCCAGAGTCGAACTGAAGACCTCGTCATGTCGAATCTTGAAATCAAGGGGTTACTAGTGACGCGCTCTACCACTGAGCTATGCGGGCTTATCCTGGTGGTTGTTGATGAATGTTCGGTTCGTTTAAGCCCTCTATCCACCCTGGGTGGGACTGCACTGAACTCTTTGCAAATGGGTTGGAGCTTCAACCTCCGCTTGCTCACGGGACGTCAAGGAACTAATGCTTCCAAGAAGAAAACAGCAAGCAAGTCTAACCAAGGCCTTTTAATCAATCAGCTTCTAAGGAATATCTCAATATTTAATATCCATTTGAGTAATAACTTGAGTGCCCGGAAGAAGAGAGAGATCATTTGTATCGTATCTGTACACCGGTGCCGGGGTTAGGGTTTATGCCATCAAAGACAGACTAAGGTTTGCCGATCAGCCACGACCCCAATAAGGCGCCGAAACCGTTGGCGGAGTCTCGCGAAAAAGATATTGCTCTTCATTGTGTCGGAGAGAAGGCAATACTGTAGTGATTCGTCCCATGCCAGCGTCAGCCGCAAGCAATGAGAATGGCAAAAGCTAGCACGTGCGCAATCACATGGACTATACGCTAACCCTGATCGGGCGAGACCTGGGCGGGCAGTTGCTGGCTGGGCGGGCCGGAGGGTGGCTCCAACTCGTCAGCCAGTCAGACCATTTCGTCAAATCCCGTCCGGTCGGCAAACAGCTTCGTTCTTGCTTCAAACAACCACCACCCACCTCAACACACACCGCAATTGAATCACGCACCGCCACGAACGATGTTCTTGCAACGCTCTGCCGTGGCCGTCGCGCGCCGCGCCGCCTTTTCCCCCGTGCTGCGACGCACCCTGGCCACGTCGGCCGTGCGCCGTAAGTGAAGAGGGAAATTGGAACCCGTAGCAAAAGCTACCAAAAATCTCGCGCAAGCTGCTGGAGCTATAGCTAGATCTGGGACTAGAGCTGGAGCTGGAGCTGGAGCTGGAGCTGGAGCTGGAGCTGGAGCTGGAGCTGGAGCTGGAGCTGGAGCTGGAGCTGGAGCTGGAGCTGAGCTTGCCCCTCGAGATTGTCAGGACTGACCGTGTGTGCAATTCCAGGCGACGCCGCCACCCCCGAAGCGACGGCCCCGACCACCAAATTCAAGAGACTCAGCGGTACGGACACCCCTCACTGGAATGCAAGAGCAAATTGGATAGGCTGGCTTGCCGGGTCCTGTGCCGCGACCTCGGGACTGGCCAATTGAGCAATCGAGAGTGCGCAGGAGGAACAGACAGGCACAGGAGACGGCAAGCTAGCTGGGGAGGAGCAATTTGAACTAAATTGAGGGCTATCGCTATGCCGAGGGGAGAACTACTTGCTGACGTATTCGGGGTTCCCGCCCCCCCCTGCTCAATGTGTAGAGGTCAAGACGAAGGACGATCTTTTCGGCCCCGGCGCGGCTCCCGGCACTGTCCCCACAGACCTTGAGCAGTCGACTGGTCTGGAGCGTCTCGAGATTCTCGGCAAGGTTGAGGGCATCGATGTCTTCGACATGAAGCCGCTGGATGCATCGCGTCTTGGTAAGGAAATCCGGGCTGCTCACACCGCGAGGGAGAGGGTGTCGGAGGGCTGACTGCCGGCGGTCGATTAATACAGGAACACTTGAGGACCCCATCTTGGTCCGCTCTGCCGGCGACGAGCAGTACTGCGGCTGCACTGGTTTCCCGGCCGACTCGCACGAGGTTATCTGGCTGACGGTGCGTGTCTCCCAATATCGTCTAAACTCGTTGTGCGCAGTAGCGCAGTAGTGCGAGGTTAGAGATTCTTTTTGCTGACATGGCCCTGGCTTCGTTTGTCTCCTGCAGACGTCCCGCGAGCGCCCGGTTGAGCGTTGCCCAGAGTGCGGCAGCGTTTACAAGATGGAGTATGTCGGACCCGAGGAGGACGCGCACGCGCATGACCACGGTCACGGCCACGACGAGCACGCCTGGGTCGAGCCCAAGACCTGGGCAGACCACGTCAAGCCCAGCTACTGGTAAGCGGGGCTGACGACGAGGTGCGAGGTTGCGTTGTGAGGGGTTTCAGGACGGACTGCATCGCGGCTATGGCAAGATGGGGGTGGACTTGTAGATTACTTGGGGCAGACAGACGGCCTGTATAGATTTTTTCTACGTCTGTCCTTGGACTGTGTCTGGGTATGATGCTTGCCTGCCTCCTGCATGTCCCACTGTGCAAGGCTGACCCATTGCCGGGTTATACGATGATAATTACGGGCCTTACATATTGCCATGGTCCCAATCTCCCTGCCATCTCGCAGAATAGATACCGGGACAGCGCCAGAGCTTGTAATCTGTGGGATAAGTAGTCCATCAATGCAGAGCGGGCCCTAAGCTCACACCTGGCCGTCCTGCTCCTCGGCAGCGTCCGTCCGTCTCTTGGGCCTCGCGGGGCTGCGGTTTTCTAGGACAAGAGACTGTCTGTAGATGAGAGCCTTGGCAAGCAGCTCATGCGATTCTGTCTTCCATTCCTCCCATGCCATGCTCAACCCTCATCGTCGCTAAAACTGAGCTTGATCTTCTTTGCCTTCTTGTTGGGCTTTTTGGGTTTTGTAGCAGCGCCATCTCCTCCTCCTGCGGCCGGTGCCACCGTCCCGCTCCCATCTGCTCGCCTGTTTTGCTTTGCTTTCTTGTTGTCTTTTTCGCCCCCTTCGTCGTCGTCATCGTCGCTGTGCGCGCCAATCACCTTGCCCACCTTGCGCTTCTTGGCGCCGCCCACCACGAGCTGGCTCCCGTCTGCAACGTCTTTGCTTGCCGCTGCCGCGGCAGTCCCGGTGGCGGTGGTATCGCCACCCTGTGTCGCGTCTGCTTCGTCCTCTCCAGCGCCAGTCCGCGTCGCCCCCGTGACGGCGCCGTCAGCGCCAAACTGCACGTCCAGCCCGTCGACCGTGTGCCCCCGCTCGTCCACCACCAGCGGCGCGTCCTCGGCCTCCTCGCTGCCCGACCGCTTCGCCTTGGTCGGCCGCCGCTGCGCCGCGAGGATGGGGTCCGGCCCGTCGGACCCGCTGGCGGCTTCGCCGTGCAGGCGCGCGAGGAACGGCGGCAGGCGCGAGTTGTAGTGTAGGTTTTTGGACGTGATTTTGCCGGACATCTTTTTGTTGCCCTTTCTCTTGCGCTGTCGATTCTTTGGCAGGCGCTGCGACAGGCTGGCGCAAGGAGGAGGTGTGGTACCGGTAAGATATGACCTCCTGGGTTGGGGGGGTCGGGACGTTGTCAACGTTTCGAGGAGGTGGCGGCGCTCGGGTTTTGGGGGTTGATGTGGAAGTGGAATTGGATGTGAATGTGAATGTGAATGTCGGAGTGGAACTTGCCGATCGTCTGCAAGACGTTTTTGCGTCATCTAACCCTAACCCCTATTTATCGAGCGTGGAGTCTTTTGTGCGCCTGCTCAACCCAAGTTCAGAATATGGAAGTTGTCGAGTAAATATGACCGAGCAAGTGCTTTAGACTAGTATTATTCAGTCAAAACTCAAAAGGTATAGCTAGTAGTATATCTGTCCCTGATTTAGCAATAAACTGAATCTGCAATTCCTGCCTGAGTCTCTCATGATTTTCATGATTCAAGTCAATAACGTCGACCTATTAACAGCCAGCAGTCAAGTACCAGCGTGTAGAATTTAGAAGATCTCCTGTTGATTAGTACAACGCCATAATATAGGAGTTTTCATTTTTCTACTACCGTTGGAAGATTGTCGAGGCTGGCTCCGTCTCATGCTCTTTTGCGCTTGCAAGATGGCGGACGTCAGATTCGTACCGTTGTCTATCTAGGCATCCTTAAATTGGCCCTCGCGGCTTCTCTGCCTTTTCAAATTATTAGTCCAGAGTCGGCAGTTGGCATATGACCACGCAAGAACGTAAAACTAGCAGGAAAGAGTTCGCGACACCCAGAGCCCCTTTCATGTCAAGCTACCGGCAATTATATGTATGTCACTCGGAAGATGTTTCACGAGCTAAGAAGCAGTGACTCAGCTATTTCACAGAGTCAAGTCTTCAGTTGTCTCTCTGCCATTTTGCTAGCTTCAAATCCTAGAAGGTAGAATAAAGGCAATGGGAAAACGTAATTGCCTTGCTTGACAAGCTGTCATCCTGCAACGTTTATCTGCCAATGAAGTTTATCTTCATTTGGGCGTAAGATCGACATCCATTGTAATCAGTAGGGCGTGTGCCGAATTTCTGGCTCGCGTTAAACATCAACATGGCCTGGGCGAAAACTTTGATCTTGCATGGCGGTGGTAAGGTTCCGGTATGGCTCTGTCGGTGCCGTTCAATTGTTTGACTTTTTGCTATACCGCGGTAAATGCCTGTGTTAGCCTTTAATGTATACATGGTAATGGGTATAAGCCATTTCACTTTCATAATAAATCTAACTGTGGAAATCCCTCTTCAAGCTAAGTCTTATTGAAGCAGACGAAATAATACATGGTTGGCTGGTCACCGTAGTCAGCGTTGTGCGTATGCGGCTCAACAAATGCGCGCTTGAGGAGAATGAAACGAGGCTCTTTCGGGTTGTCTCGATTTGCTGACGAGGCAGTGTGACTCACTCGGAACAATTGGCCAACTCTTTGTGTCGCTGTAGTATTCCGATTCCGAGTATAGTTGCCACTCTACCAGACAGATATGCAGTTGCACGAGCTGCACGGGCGAGGCACATCAGTTCAGCTTCAAATGGCGGTCCGCTCGGCGGCCGCTGGAGCCTTGAATGGCGCAGTGTGGAGGTCGGCTGCCTCAAGTTTGCCTTTTGAAGTAGGGCTCTCGGCAGTCTTGAGTGCATTGTAGCGGCGACCTCACAACCGAATCAGATCGACGCTACGGGCACCATTTGCCAGCGCACCCGCCCTGGCTGCATGTTCGATGCCCAATCCCGTCATGGCGTCTACTCCCACCCTTGATTAGGGCTGTGCTCTTCCCTGCGCACCCTTGCAACAGCGTTTGGTATTACTACCCCTTGTTATTCCTGCTCCCGCGACCAAGTCGCATCACAGAGCCGCGTGAGAAATTTGCGTCCAGCCTTGACTTTTCAACCCGTCAACTCTGGGTCGCCTACCTACGT